GAGTTTGTAATGTAGCTTAGAATTTTAAGGCTTTATGGATTGATAATGCATTTAAGGGTGTCCTTTAAAATTACACCAGATTAATGTAAATAACTGAGGCAGTGATCTTAAATGCAATTAAAAACATCAAACTTCACTCAGTTTTCAAATGAATAATGAACAACGACTCAGAAATGTATTCAGATGAATTAGCACTGAGGCTAAATAGGTTAGCTCAGGCAGCGCCAGGAGACCAGGCTACGAGGCCCAGCTTGTTAAAGGGCAATGAACTTTGTCCTATGATGGCCGCCACCACGTACGCTTGTGATTGAAGATGAGGTAGCCTGAGCCTATAATGCTAGCCAATCAAATGTCAGCACATAACTCTTGTGATAAAGGGAAAAAAAAAACTGAGACAAAGACCACACAGCACCAATAGTTCAAAATCAGATTCAATTAGCGTCAGCCTTCAGTTAAGAACTCTTTACTTAAAAACCCATCCTTTGGAAACCATAAAGCTTTATTGTTCAGAAACACAAAACATACAAACATATCTATCCTAACCTCGGCCAAGCTTGAGTATCTCAGTAAGCACCAGATAAAAAGGGACAAAGGCATTACCCTGTGTAGTTCGGGGAAGAAAAGGAAGTAACGATGTTCTGCTGGTATGGCTCAGAAGCCCAGTCCACTCGGTCCAACAGGCAGCTCTTGGAGAGACTTGAGTTAGTTTGATCCAAAACAACAGAGAAAGGTCTTAGGGGCTTGATTTGTTTTATCACTTACAGCAGCTTTAAGAAGATGTCTCTTTAGAGGGCCAGCTGACAGCTTCGATGCAGTGGTGCACCATGCAAACATCTTGGCAAAATGCAGTTTGGCATGGAGTGCTCTGTGGGCTGCAAACAAGAGTCGACCTGGCAAACTAGATTTTTTTTTTTTCCATCAAGACTCTACTTTCAGTTTGCTCGGAATTGTAAAAATTACCCTGATTTCTGGCTATTTGAATTGCATCTGACTTGGAATATGTGCACGAGGATGGACGTCAATACTGCTTAAATACATCAGCGCTCCAACTATAGTTTGCTGTGGTGCGAGTCAACAGATTTTAAAAGGCTTCTGGATTGTCGAAATAACTATTTTTAAGTTGGTGCCTTCCAATTTAAACCTGTTTTTGATTGACATTTGTTCAAAGACCACAAATAAGATTTCAGGATGTTTATTCTTCCTAAATATCTGAAAAATACATATCAAAATTATAAAGAAAATAAGCTACCGTATGTACATTTTTAAAGTAAAAAATTGTGTAGCTTTCATAGTTTTAGGTATGGTAAATATTATGCTGGGGATTGCTGGCCTAGTGGGTTACAGCAGTGCGCTTTTGCTCTGAGAAGGTTGCAAATAGCGGTTTGATCCCCACATCCTTCACTCTGGGTTCCCTAGCAAAACCCTTAACCCCTGATGGCTCGATGGTACACAATGGCAGCCCACTGCCCCCCAAGGGGATGGGTTTTATATTTATGAAGAAACAAAAACTGAGCATGTTTCACACTTTATAATACAATAGTATCTGCACACAAAAATAGGTTCACAGTGATGTAAAAATTAGAATAATCAAAAGTGCCGCATTTTATTACCCCAACCAGTTGTCAAAAAAGCAAAAGTTAAACTATAAGTCCAGAGGCCTAAATCTGATCAGTTGAGTGAGGAAAATATTCACTCAGACTCAGAACTTATTCAACATTCAGGCATACCCCTACCATGTAAAAAGTTTTGTCGCTTAAGCCTCTTTCCCACTGAAAATACTGGGTTATTGCATGTTTTTCAAACATGGTCGACCCTTAAATTTGAATTTTGATCCCTTCCCCTTGGCAAAAAAGCTGGGTCAAGCCCTTTGCTGGCAGTTGCAAGGCCTTTTTTCTCCCCGCCACTGTGTGTCTGCCGACGATTACCCTGGTGTAGCATTGCTGCTGTCACCAGTGTGACAGCAAGAAGGAAAATAATAGAGAGCAATATGTAAGGAAGCCAGGACATAGTAAGTCGGCTTTATAGTTTTGCTCATTTATCTACCAGAATCCCT